ACCTTAACCCGCGGGAGCTGTCACCATCCATTGGGTCGACGTATCCCCGTTGAGCTACTGAACCACTCGTGAAAGTTTTTACGTGCAATCACGGAGGTCGCCCAACCGAAGGCGTTTCTCGTGTGCTGTAACATAATGGGTACGTGCCGTCCATGCCTAGCTCGAACCAGTACATGAGCCGTCACGCTGGAGTACTGATCTCCCACATGCGATTCAGCGTTGGTCGACTAGGACATCCAAACTCAACCACATGACACACAATAAAACAAACTAACTAAGACAAACAAATAAGCCTAGTCCCTTTTTCATACGCCCTGAACCATAACTCAAAAAAACTAAAGTGTCTTAGCGAGGTCCGCACAAAGTTGTATAAAAAGAAAGCAATCGCTAAGGGAACTATAATGCTCAGTCACGTGTACTTACTTGATCTGTTATCATGGTGATGCTTCATGCGTTACCCATATCCGTGCAACCTCTCATGGGTTTCGGGGTTGCGTACGACACTCAAGTATTGAAAGCGAAATATCGTGAAGGGTCCCTCCTTCATGATATTGAACGACTGAAGGATAAGTTGTTCAACCCTTGCGGGACCCCTGCCTTTTAAGGGGCGTAGGTCCGGCTCAAAAGGGAAACCCTTTTAGGTTGGACCAGAGTCTGGGATGTCCTAGACAAGGACCTCTAATTTCAGGCTCATGACCAACGTCCGACCCATAATCCAAAAAGTAAACCCTCTTGGAGATGGGGTTCACTCGTCCTTCCCCTACATAAAGAAAATACGAGTAGTCACGGGTTGACGAGCAATTCGCTATACCTAAACTAAGTTTCAGTCCGATCTAAGGTTGAACGCTAAACCTTGCGCTCGGCTACTCCTACTTGTTCGTTAGATGTGTGTGGCAAGAGAAAAAAAAAAAAAAAAAAAAAAAAAAAATAAAAAAAATAAAAAAAAACGGAAAAAAAGGGGAAAAAAGCGACCGCAAACTTATCATTGCAGTCCTCTCCCCCAAAAAAAAAAAAAAAAAAAAAAAAAAAAAAAAAAAAAAAAGGGAAAGTCTCGGATGAAATCGGGGAGAGTCAATCTCACAACCATAGTTGAACCTTGTCACTCATACCCTGCACTCATTCATTCATATCACCCTTAATCCAAACGAACCCTTGCTCCTATACATACCTGCACAAACATGAAACCCAATTAAAATCCACACGTAGATGCCACAAACGTGGTCAACCCTTTTGTTCCCAGGTTTATGTCCCATACGCCCCTTTCCGACCCCCACTCAACAAAGACATACCCGTCTGTCCCGATTCACACAGCTTTTGCATGACCATTCAAGAGAGGTTTCAAGGATAGGTTTTCTTCATACGGAAATGTCTTTTGCCTACAGGGTCACAAACATATGGGCGTGGGTATCATGGTGGGTAGGAGTTGAATCGCAAACCGACCTGCCATCAAATCGATAGCTGAAGTTGATGAAGCTCAAGAACTCTGAGACAACTCGCATGTAACGGTACCCTACGTCACAAAATCAATGCATGCATTGCCTGTCTAGTTAACAAAGTTCAAATTTATATTGCATTTTAAGCTATTTAGCAGTAGCGTCCTGTAACGATGTGGAAATCCCAAAAGTTTCGGCAACACTTCCTTTAGGGAAGTGCGCTCGACGAATATTTACTATACAAAATCTACAAAGAAAAACTCGAGATTTATAAAATATATAAAAATTAACTAATTTTTTAGTTTCAGTAGAAATTTCGGCAGCGCTTCCTTTAGGAAGGAAGACGTTCAAAATTCCTACTGACTCCAACGACTAAACTATATCCTATCCTAGTTGACATCTCTGAATTTTGACCAACTTTGAGTATTTAGCACACATTTTGACAACTCCTCTCCTAAGGAAAAAAAACTTCCAGAATTTCTACTGACTTAGAGGCTAGCTAATGTCCTACTAAAATAATCATGCATGAAGAGACAAGTGTGAAAACAAAAGTGAATATTTATCTGCTTTTCGCTCAAGCATATAAAATACCCTGCTAAACAGAGGGGAGATATAATTGAAAGAAACAAGGCATTGCCAACAAGCATGTTATGTCAACAACCCATTCAACCAATTAAAAACAAGGGTTATTTCATCCAAAGTTTTCATCTTTTATTTGTCCTGATTCATCAAGACATGAGTTATGTATCTTACTTAGTTAATTAACTTTCCAAGTTGTTCTCAGTCAAATCCCATGCAAACACTAACACACTAGCTTGAACTATTCTCACAAGGAGAAGAGTCAGACCTTTGTCATCATACAAAACTAACTGACTTAGCAAAGCGACCGGATCAGTCAGGAGAAACTCGTTTCTAGCCCCATTTCAATGTCTTAGGCAAACAAGCCAAGCGATCGGATCAGTCAGGAGGACCTCCTCTCCAACCTCATTTCAATGTCTTAGGCAAACAAGCAAAGCGACTGGATCAGTCAGGAGGACCTCATCTCCAACCCCATTTCAATGTATTAGACAAACGAGCAAAGTGACCGGATCAGTCACAATGACCTTATCTCCAGCCTCGTTTTAATGTCTTAGGCAAACAAGCAAAGCGATGAAATGAGTCAGGAGGACCTTATCTTCGGCCCCATTTAAATGTCTTAGGCAAACGAGCAAAGCGACCGGATCAGTCAGGAGGACCTCATCTACGAGTTGTAATCCCGCCTGCTGCCTTCCTCTCCAAACATAGACTAGACTGAGAGGAAAAAGGAAAGAAGAAGAAAGGTCAGAAACTCGAGATACGAGGAGGGGCCGACTCAACTCACACGATAGGGTCTTCGTGTCCTCAGATCCTGAGGGTCCCTCAATGGCGGCCAAAAGCATAGCGATGAGAGCCCATCAACGACCAAATAGCAGTGTAACAGCTCTCTGACAAGCCTCCAAGCTGCAACAGTATTCCCGTTGCAAAGCCTCACCACCCCCTCGAAGCCTCAATGCATCACCTCTGACTTATCTCCGGCTGCGCAACATAGAAAGACTGCGTTCGAGTAGAGTACACCCCTTGTGTTTTATTCGAATGCAAGTGCACACGTAGCAATATGCAGCAACAAGGTTCATCAACGTCAACCACTACATAGTGGCAGCAACACTTGCCTTCACAGTAGCAAGTTCAAGGATTAGTAACACCAGCAACGAGATTGAGTCGCCGCAATAGTAAAAAGCAAAGTGTTCGCAACGGAGAGTCACAACAGTAGAGATCTGCTGAGAAGATCAATATCAGTTGGGGCATAGGAGCAGCAGTCCGTTGTTGTCAAAAATAGAAGCAGACCACTCTTCACGAATGCTACTGTAGTTTGAAGCCCGCCGATGGTAAAAATCAGGTCTCCATCGAAGCAACACCGTACAACAACTCACGTCTCAGCAGCACCGACACCAGTGTACAACAGTAAAAGTGCAGAACACAACTTGGTAGAAAAACACAAGTGGAGCAACACATAAAAGTCGTTAAAAAGAACAATAATGCTATGGTTGAAAGGATTGTGGTAAGTAATTTGTTGCTCTAACCACAATAAAAAACCCGCCTTGTTTGTAGGAGGTGCTACCTAGGAACCGCAATGCCCAAAAGTAAGGCAACTCCGCCCGATGACTTAGCAACAGTACCTAGTAGTGCTGCCCCGGAACCACTTCGATTTCCGGTCTAGTAGCTAAAACACCTATAAAGATTAAGGAAGAGCTTTCAATTTGTCAACCCTTGCTATGTCTGAACCTGGTGAGTGCCAGACGATCATGAACCATCACCCATTAAACCAGGAGGCCACCTTCAGTCTACCACTCCTTACCGCACAGAAGTTGCAGTAGGTTCGCTGCAGACTCCGCAACTTTGTGAGAACAATGCTCCTTCATCAGGTAAATATCCCCTCTTTCTTCTCAATTAGTCTTACTCTCCTTTCCGACCAGTGTCCGATTGTACTAATGGTCTGCGTAGCATGACGAACGTGTTCGCGGTGCTCCCCGTCCTCGTGAACACGTTCTAGAGAACGCGTTTTGGAAGGTCATGAACGTCGTTCGCGGGGGCCGGTACCGGTCGTCGGCGGTGGTCAGGGCGGGGGTTTTGGGGCCTGGGGGAGGGCAGGGGTGGCCTGCCAACTGAAGGCGGGGGGCAGGGGGGCTGGGGGGAGTCGATTTCGAATAATCGAACTCCAACGCGTGTTCCCCCCGGATGGAGCAGCAACGCACAAAGGAGGTGGCTGTGCATGTGAGTGACCAGCCATAGCCCAGGACCAACCCCGTTCCCCCCCCCCC